GGAATTTAAAAGTCATTTTCAATGCAATTCTGAATGTTGCACATCCCTGGTATTCAGGCAACAATTTGACCTTGGCTACATCTTCACTGTCACGGCCAGTGTGAAGCAACAGTATCCTTCACTGTCAAATTCAAGGCAAGTTCAGCGCAATCAAATGGAACTTGGCCAAATGCTACGTCAAAGTATGAAAATATGTGTTCATTATGTTAGAATAAGAACATTATTTAAAACACTTTTCATAAGCAAAACATTTACTAAATAGAAAAATCTCATTTAGAACAACATCACAGGCCACAACAATCAAAGCCATTCTCGTCTTTGTTTTACAACTTTCTTGGGGCAAAAAGCACTTTTGCCCCTTTCACTAAATAGGCTGTTTATAATTCAAAGCATACACTTTTCCTGGTCATATATCGTGTAGCTGTACTGTTGCTGTGTTTTCTTTCCACTGTAGGGTTATATAATGTGAGTGAGGGCCTCTGGGTTTGGCTGAGGTCCAGTCCCACACAGGCCTCTCTGTGCTGCTTTTTCCTGGATCCCTCCAGCTGCCTTTATCACCCCAGCAGCTGACTCCCTCACATGCCTCTCTGTTCCTAATGAGGGCTTTTTGGGCAAGAATTGTGCCGCTTTCTTGTTTTACTTCTTTCTTTCCCTCACTCACTTTCTCTCGTTCTCTCTTTCCAACTGCCCCCAAGCCATTTGTTATCCTTGTTTTGGCTGCAGAACAGGGCAAGTCCAGCTGACACACACCTGCTTAGTGGCTGTGAACAGGGCAGCTTTAGAAACAGCGAAACAACGTCTTTCTAAGTGGGCCAAATCTCTATCCAAATAGAAACAGAGGACTTTTTGATGCATAAGGAACAGCAGCTTTTTATCAGCTGAGCTGCGTTTATCAGTCCAACTGCCATACGCCCCAGTAAAGAGTGTTTATCAGATTGCTGACAGCCTGTGTAAAAATTTAAATTCAAACCTGAAATGTGTTACTCCCCAGTTTTGCAAATCCTTGATTCCTTTCTGTTCATCATGGCCTAAAACTCTTAATGTAAAACCCAATCATGTGCAACGAATTGGCAAAGTACATTAATTTGGCTCAGTCCCAGATGTTAATAGGAAGCTACACCAATTTTATCCAGTGTGCTAATTAAAATGTGACTCGCACCAAGTGTTAAAATCTCTGAGGGAATCATTAGAATGGGGCTGAAATTAAACCAAAGACCTGTCCTTCTATCCATCAACATAGCACACAACCAACTTTTTTTTTCCACAAGGCATCACTGAAAATGACTGTGAGGTTCAGTTTACCGATCTAAAGCTAAAATAGATCACATCTCTGAAAACATCAAAGCAATTTTTCAAATAGGTGCAATCTTTATAAATAAACCTCCTCTGCCATGAGAAATGCTACAAGCGGATTATATTATATAGATTATTATATAAAAACCTTTGCTTAAAAATAAATTGAGAGAGAAATCGACATTTCTAGGTATTCAAAACAATACAAAGAGAACTGGTTAAGGGCTCAAACACATCCCAAATGCTTTTATGTACAAAAATGTCTGTACATTTAATGACTTGAATATGAAGGAAAAAACACTGACATAAATTCATTATTTTACCTGTGTGTGGGAATTTTGAAAGGCATTTTTAGTTGTCCAGAGAGACTATTGATGGTACACACATCAGAGAAGCATCAAATGCATTCATGCAGAAAAATGCTTGGTGGCAGACTCGAGCAGCGCTGAGACATTACAAGTGACTTTGATAACGTTAATACTCCATATCGCACTACAGTGGCACAGATACACTGACAGCCCAGCTATTTTAGGCAACACAAATAAAGAGCAGGTCAACTGCGGGTGTGTGGAGGGAACTGTCAGCTCGGAAAGACAATTGGGCTTGATGGAAGAGCTGGTCCCAGCTGGGTGTAGGAATACCGGGGAGATGGAGAGATAGGAAGAGATGGTGAGACTGGTAAGAGAAAAGAAAATGGATATGGGGGAGGGGTCAGGGACAGGATCAGCAGGAAACAGCTGAGGCAGAAGGTACTGTGATCCATCACATCCTGACTAACTGGCTCAGGTGCTCCACATCCTCCCAGACATGTTAGATAAATGATGGGCTCTCGGGGCTGAAGGGGCTTAGAAACTGGAGTTTTATGTCCCAGTGGATTCATACCACCTAGTGACCAGTCATTTTTTTGAATTTTCAGTTTTTTGGGGGCAACTGGGGAAATTTAAAGGGGGAACTATGTCGATGTGAAAGTGCTGGCTACTGCATTTTTATTTCGCTGATCCGCAAACAAATCTGAGGGCTAGAAGGGAGAAAATGACCTTGAGAACATTGAACCAGTTTGCGTGCTTAAAGCAGGGCTAATAAATCCTTGCTGTTCTCATGGGGATGTAAGAGCCCATCTTGTGTCCTCTCCATAAGACCTTTTTTTTCTCGTTTCTGACACACACAGCATTGGTTCTGAGGGTTTACACCGGTATCGATCAGTTTTCATCTTCCTCAAAGATTCACTGCTGAATATAAACGACTGCATGACCTCTATGTTTAATGCATCTGTATTCTTTCAGCAAGCCTCAGGAGCAATTCACTCTACAGAAGAAAAAAGGCGAGCTTTCATTCTTCTTGAACATCACAGCATCCTACAGGGTGTTGGGGGGTTTATTAGGTACTGCACTCTTGTGTAGGGCTGTCGCGGTTAGGAAATTTCCCTTGCGGTTATTATGGGTGGCACAATAGCGCGATACGCGGTGTTACCGCGCTTTTTTTTCTTATTCTTTTTTTTTTTACAAACCTTATTTATCAATAGCGCGGTATTACAATATTGCGGTTATCGCGACAGCCCTACTCTTGTGTTGAAGATTATACAAAAATCAACCTGTGGTCAATGATCAAACATTGGCCTGTGAAGCTGGTATTGATCTCATTCAGGATCCTGGTGCTGCCTGGAGAGTCTTGTGATTCGTGAAACAGCTTGAAGGAAAATCCCAATCAGAAAGCCATTAACCTACCATGTACTTTATCTGGAATCTATATTTAAATCTATACTTTGTGATCTACAAGTATTGAATGGCGATATGGCAAACCAAGGGATCAGATTAATCAGTTTTTCAATTCAAAACGTTTATTCTTCCTCCAAATTCACCTCCACACAACGTGCTTTTAATCAATTGTCAGACACTTTTATCAAAAGCATACAGTGAATCCAAGGCATTAATTTTATCAGTATCTGAATAGTATGTGATCTGAACCCAAGAGCAATTTCCATGCTCTATAACGTCAGCTTTATATATATATATATATTATAAACAATGAGATAAAATTAAAATTACGAAATATTCCGTTATCTCATTGTTTTATATTTATTATATATTTGATTCTATTCAGTTTTAAATATTGTATTTCTTATAGAAATCTGAATATTTCACATATTACATATTAGTGTAAAATAGTTTAGTATTAAAACAGTAACGCACATTATTAAAGTATATTAAAATAATTTATAATATATACTCAACATTTCAGAATTACATCCTAAAAATAAAAAATAAAACAAAAGAATGAAATAAAATAAATGCACTTAATATACAAGTAGAAATGTAACAATATAATATAAATTCTACTCTGAATATACACTTGTTTCAATTATAGAAAATTACTTTGAGTGAGAAAAACATTTATCTTCAATGCTCTTTGAAGACCGTTTATCCAAGCCTCAATCAGAAGAGTTTTCATTCAGTTTTTCTGAATGCCGTCAGACATCACTGAGCGAGGGGAGGAGGACAGTGATTGGTGCTGAGTCAGCAGGAGCCGTCTGGTCACCCCAGAGAGTCAGTGTGCCTCAGACTGTCAGCACATTCTCACTGCCTCCACTCCACTACAGGTCTGTGAACAGAGAGAGATGTAAAAGCATCCCTCTGCTGCTATAACTTCAGTGACAAGTGCTTTAACAGGGGTTGAGGTGCTACGGTGTGACCATGTGAACTTTACAGGCTGCTGAAGCCCAAACAAGCATGCTAATGTAACACAACACTAGGCAAATAGCTATTGTAAATCATGAGGTCATTACGTGCTAATCATTGGAGCTAATTCTGTAGTGGTTTAGCCATTACAGCCACATTCATCATTCTCTTGCAAATTATATACAAGTGACAGGTGCTTCATTCCTGACCCGACTCAACCTCAGCTTGGGGCAGCCAGGGCCAGAATAATCAAACTCAGATTGACCCGCGCGATGGCTGTTGAGTCAGCACACTGGCACACATTAAGGGTTAATTTCATGAGGGCTTATTAAAGCATTCAGGCCAAAGGGCCATAGCGATGAGGGAGTGCCTTTGAAAGGTCAAGATGACGTTCCTCCCATCCTTTTCATTCAGTGGACCAACATTCAGCAGGTCATCAGTCTGCATGTCAGATACAGAGCCCATTCTGATGTACCCATCAACTAATCCTATTTTCTGCTTGATTCTAATGTCTTTTCAATCAATCCGTGGTCTTTCTTCTCACATTATAACAAATCCTCAAAACTATATTGTGAAATATTACAACTTAAAATAATTGTTCATTTTTAATATATTGTAAAATGGAATTTATTTCTTTGTGATGGCAGTGTTGAATTTTCTGCAGGCATTACTCCAATATTAAGTGTCACATGATCCTTCAGAAATAATTTATTAATGTTGAAAACAGCAATATTTTTTTTTTATAATAGCTGCTAAACTGTATTATTATTTCCTTGTTATACTCAATCACATGGTCTCTTCTCACATAAAAACATAACAAAAAACAATATTTCAAGTCCATTTATGTATTTATTTGACAAGTAGCAGGATAATAGTCAGACGATCAATGTAACAAAAAACAAATAAACCCCTTCAGGGGCTCAACCTGATCACCCTGTCAGGGTTTATTCAGTGATGACCAACTGACTATTCATTACCTCTTACATATTTCATTAAAACAAAGTAATAGTCTTGCCGTTGGGGTTACATTTGTAATTTTACATTTCATGTCTCTGTAAATGCACCAACACTCCCCCAGCAATAACAATAGACAGTAATTCATCATATGAGGGTCTCCAGGAATACAAAGAGGAAGAGCGTAGACATGAAAACTGAGCCGAGCGGTAGACGAGAACCTAGAGGTCAGGACTGTAATCATCTGACCTGATCAATAATTAACCAAGGTCACCTTTAATGACGGCGAAGCAATGTGGCATAAATTATTCATACAAATCGCTGTATGAAACAACAGTGGTGGAGAGACTGTGAAAGTGAGCCTAAGATGATGGATAAACAGAAAGACCGAAAGTAATTGAGAACCAGTAAACAGATCTCTCTCAAGAGACATCATTTATATACTCTTGTTGGTCACATCAAAGGAATGTTGTGTACACATGAAAACCTGAACAGATTTGGTCTGTGATGCAGCAAATTCCTCTGAAGTTCCCATTCGATGAATCACCACAGAGCTGGAACCTGTAACTGCAGTTCACTCAAATGCCACAAGAGGTTCAAAGAGACATTCATCTCAGAGGAATCGAAGAGAGCCAATCTCCACAGGAAGGTGTGCAGTGAGAGAGGACGGAGTGTAAATGCTGGCAGTTGAGTGCGGCGGGACCTCTCGCGCTGGAAGGCAAAAGAGAGAGAGTTTGAGCTGAACTGGAATCTTTGTTCATATCCCATGTGGCAGAAGGGGATTTCCTTGCTCTCCCTCACTCTGATGCACTTTCACTACACTAAACACACGGGGAACAGATAAATGATGCAATGTCAAGCAATCCAGAAGGATCAAGGTGCCAGAAAAAAAAAGTACATAGTCATGACTCTGCCGGCACCCTGCTAACCCTGTGATGAACCCTCATTCAGCCAAATCTTGGATTATGGATTGCAAACATTTCACAATGTATTGCTTCAGACAGTAATATGATAAGTAGGTTTTTGTGCAAAGACATCAAGTTTTGTGCATTTTCCTGCAATGCAATGCCAATCACATTTCACATCTTGTACTAATTGTTTTTCTATTGCATTACTGTATATACAATGATGCTCAAAAGTTTGGGGTCAGTAAGATTTTGAGAAATAAGTCTCTTATGTTCAACAAGCCTGCATTTATTTGAACAAAAATATAAAAAAGAACATATTTTAAAATGTAATTTATTGCTGTGATGGTATAGCTGAATTTTCAGCATCGTTACTCAAATCTTCCATGTCACATGATCCTTCAGAAATCATTCTGACAAATAATGCATACAAAAACTTCAGTAATGGCCATCAACTGACTTACTACACCCCAATAAATGTGTTTGGTGTACTGTTCTCTATTAACTAAGCCTTTAGTGGGAACAAGTTGCAGAACTATATTTCACCATCTATTTTATAACATTCTGCAGAGGCTGATCTAGAGGGGCGATTTCAGAACACTTCAGGGACAGGAAGAGCTGAACAGAAGCTATAAATGCTTAAGTGACAATCCATCTTTCTAATTACACTTCATTCAATGCATCAACATTCCCTTCAGGACCCTCATTTGTCCATTTCTCTGAGCCATCAGCACAGCTGGTCTTACAGGTGGCAGCAGCACGTTGTGACATTACATCAGACTGTCTCCAGAAATACATTGCCACATTGGCCTTATGCAAAGACTGTACACAGCAAAATCACTGGTGTAGAATTTTCAGGGACGGTGTAAAATTAACAGTGTTGACATTGTTTTAACACTACATGGTGATAAAATAACACTGCTGTTGTTATTTGTAAGACAGTGTCAGTGTGAAATTTAAGTGTATTTTCAAATTTCACCCAAAGTGGCGTAAAAAGCCACGCCTCCACTTAACGCTAGGCCAGTCTGTGTCCGCCATTTTCTTTTACTTGAAGCCGAAGCCGAAGAAAAAGCAGGTAAATCAGATTCTCACACGATATAGCTAAATTAAATTGTTATTTTTATATCTACGGAGCCTTTGATCAATTCGTTCCCTTGTACCGATTTCTCTGAGCCCTCATGCTCCGAGTCGTCATTTTCATCAGTGGAATCAGAAAGTTCAGATTCCACAATCTAGTTCAGATTCAACAGTGATTCCACAATCTTCAAAGGCACGCAAAAAGCGGTTCTTAGAAGAACCTTCTGACTGCAATGCATCAAAAGATGTCAGTTATTTTTCCTCTGTTGCTTAAGTTTTGTCCTTGAATGATATAATTTTTGATACCATATCAATAATCTTACCAACATTAGTATATCAAAGACTGGTTTATTTGCATTCATCCTTTTTTTTTCTTTCTCTACAGCTAGTTCATGCAGCACTGCACTCAAAACCAGGAGGCTCTGATATATTGAAGGAGTACAAACAAACGAAGAGCCTGTCTGACAAGACACGAAGGACGCTGGTAAACATCCTTGTGGCTGATATGGTAGAGAAGTATGGGTAAGTGACCAATAAAATAATCATTAGTCTAGTTTATATATTGCACTGGTATTTGAGCACAGTTAAATTTTATATGTAATGTTAATTAATAATATATATATTATTTTTGTTATGCTGTGGTGTAGGAGGATTCCACCAGTCAGTATCCATGTAAGCTATGCTCTTGGAATCATTACTCTATTCCCCAATTTGAAGGATAAGTGCTCACCGACTGGTTATGTATGTATACAGTACATTGAGACTGTACACTCTCTTTATTTCAGCACATATCAAATGCATGAGTCAATCATCATTATTAGTAAAAAGATCAGAATAAATGGCCATGAAAACCCTGATCATTCAGTTAATCACATTGATCTTAAACCGCAAACTTACGCATTCACCTGCTCTAATAGCGCCCAACTTGATCCCAAGTTTCAAATCACTGTCACTTCCCTTTGAAATTGTGACCAAATATTTGCTGACATTGAGGGAGCGTGTGTCCTTTTCAGAGTGTTTGCTTGCTAGTTTCCACTAAACTGGCCTTCTTCAGAGAGCTGGTACATGTGTGCCTGGCCTGCTGCCCTTAGATAAAGAACAGTGTTAGCGAGGGGGAAGGGAAATCAAAGCAAAAAGAAAAAAGAAATTGGCTGGAAAACTAGAGGATGTGGGGGTCAAATGAGTTCTGTAGCAAGATACAACTGTATAGAATTAAGAAATGTTTACATAACAGCTTGTCTTTTTGCATAATGTGCATGTCACAAAACAAATACGCACAGGCTGCCTGTGCCGGTTGAATCCGGGAGCCCCTTGAAGGATGTCTAACCAGTAATACTGCATTTAATGGTGAAATACAGTACGAGTTGTGAGAAAGTTGGCATTAAAGGGATAGTTCACCCAAAAATGAAAATTACCCCATCATTTACTCACCCTCAAGCCATTCTAGGTGTATATAACTTTCTTCTTTCAGATGAATACAATCGGAGTTATATTTAAAAATGGCCTGGCTCTTCCAAGCTTTATAATGGCAGTGAATGGGTGATATCCAATAGTCCAATAGAAGTCCAATAAACTGCATCCATCCATCATAAAAAAAGAGAGTGGCATTTCAGCCGGATGACGTAGGATGTAGACGTAGCGTAATCTCCGGTGAGAATATGCTAGTCTTGCGAGAACCAAGTTTTGTTTACAGCTAAGGAAAACCAGTTTCCTCTTGGCTTAAATCGAAATCTTCCAACATTTTTCTTTACAAATCCTCAGTTTGTACTAATTCGTGACCGGTGTTTTGTTTTGCTCTCCTCTCAGCTTCTGCGTTCGTCACTTCTCACCGGAGCTTACACTATGCCTACGTCCTCCACTGGAACGCCAATCTCTTGTGAACGTGTGTACGACAGTCAGAGGAAGCTAGAGATTACAGGTTATAAAGTTTTAAAAGGGTTTTTTATGAGGGATGGACGCAGTTCATTGAACTTCTATTGGACTATTGAATCTCAACACCCATTCACTGCCATTATAAAGCTTGGAAGAGCCATGACATTTTTAAATATAACTCTGATTGTATTCATCTGAAAGAAGAAAGTCATATACACCCACGATGTCTTGAGGGTAGTGCTGGGCGGTATGACCAAAAATTTATATCACGGTACTTTTCAAAATTATACCGGTTTCACGGTATACAAGATGGTTTTTTTTTTTTCATGCATGACCGAGTGTTAACCATATTTTCTACTGATTGAGAGAGGAAATACTGCAGTATATTGACTTAGAATGCCCTATTTTACTGTCATGATGAGTGAATATTGTAAAAAAATACCACACTAAATAGTGACTAAACGATACTCGATGGTATCGAGGCAATTCGGTCGGTGCCTAAAAAGTATCGAACTCGATACCCAGCCCTAGCCGAGGGTCCGGATAACTTATACACAACCTCTTCACTGTAAAAGAGGAAACACATGACATTTAAACAAGAGGGTGGAAATATTTAGAGAACTGCTCTTCAAATGTCAACTTGGCTGGGCCGGTCTGCATTTATTTCATCATTCACAATGCATGCCAGTTTGTTTACAGTTCATAAAGCTGCCTTGCTGTCCGAGTTTCATGGTTTCTGTTACAGAGGTGGTCACATGGTCATGGTGGCAATCAGAGAAAGAGGATTATGAGAGAATCCACTGACAAAACAGTCTAGCCAGATTGGGCATGCCCTGTATTGACCCCCACACCTCATAGTGTTATTAGAGAGCACTAGCAGCATCCTGCTCTCCCGTCATCCCCGGCACTCACATTAATCTAAACATCTCAATCCCCAAAACCAGATCTGAAGCAATCCCATTAACCTGGGCTTTACAGAGGATCCACAAGAAAATCCTCAGCCCAAGAGGATGGCTAGTCCCACTTAAACCATCTCACTATAGGGCCTTTCGCACCGCTTTAGTTCCAGAACTAAATGTACAGTACTAAAGTACTGGGACGATTTTGCGTGAACTATTTCCCAGTACCATTTAAAGGGTTGCATTCGCACCGAGAGTGTGTACTAAGAAGTGACGTAAGCCGGTCGACAGCGACGTCATTTGTGC